GTGGTGCTGAGTCAAGTGGAGGGGCCGTGAGACAGAGGAAGATGGAAGAATACCGCAACTCAAACATAAAAACAGTTCATTGCAAAGATGGCACGGGACCTGACAGTGTTTTGTTAGGTTATACATAAAGCTTCCATAAAGTTGCCATGAGTCAGAACTGACTTGATGGTACCTAACGACATGTGGTAATGCATAAAAGCCAGAGGGGCCAGAGCAGGGAGGTCTTGGCTAGAGTACGGTGTCCCGGACTCTCAAGTATATTACTGCTCCTCCCCTGGAAACAGTAACTCCAACTATAAAATTAGAAGCTGAGCTTCATCATCTATGAGGCGGGGTCAGAACCCATGGCTGTAATCATCCAACTGAACAGCTGCCTTGCTATGACCTAGCGAGAAGGGGAACCCAGCCTTGGGACATTCTTAGTAGATGGAGTCTGGAAATCAGTATTTTTAAAAGCTTTTTTTTTTTAGGTCTAAATGATATTCTGTTGGCATGAATGCATTAATTTTATTCACCATTTACTCACCAAATCGTACCAGAAAGAATTTGGTTATTGTAACAAAGGAACGATGCGTATTCTCCCAGTTGGCCCACAGGATTCCTGGGAGATCGGGCTGCTCTCCATGTTTGAATTCTCACCCCCTTTGCTTTGCCTTTGAGCCTTACAAGAAGTCGTTAGGCACTTGGGTGCTAACCGAATGACAGATGGTTTGACTCTACTAGCCATTCCACAGGAGGAGGACGAGACTGCTTCGGGAAATATAACGGTCTTGGACACCCTGTGGGGCTGTTCTACTCTGACTTATAGGGTCGCTCTGTGTCTGAATCTGCTGGAGAGCAATGGATTGGGGGTGTGAGTTAGAACTGCCTTGATGACAGTAAATAGTTTTGTTTGGTTTGGGATTGCAATGACGTTCACTAGCCCACGGTGTGTGTCGGAAGTGTTGCAAGGAGAATGATTTTGTTACTAGTACTGGTAGCCAGAAAAATGACACCTTTCCCCTAAAAAAAAAAAAAAAAAAAAAAAAAATCCCAAAGAAATGGGAAAGAGAATAACCTGATGGAAGCGGATCACAGGATTTCCATTTGAAGCCCTGACCCCAGCTTTCTTCTTTAGCTTCCACGAGCCAACCGGAAGATGACATCGTCACCATGGGGACAGAAGGTGGCTCGGTGACCCTTGGTATTGAAGATGGCACCAAGACTCCGGGTGCAGAAGACACCACGAAAGAGGCCACTGGCTTGACAACTCTGGTGAGTGTCCTGGGAAGAGGGAAATTGGCCCCCAGTTCCCATTCACGGATATAAAACCAAGAAAAAACAAACCACTGACCCATCAGGACACTACATGACAAACTAGAGCCACTCAATGCCTCATTGGGCTGCCATACAACCCTAAGGAGGTTGTCATATTGACAGTACAGATCACTCAATCTTTACTCCCAGGAAGCCCCCCAGTGAGGTTAAACCACTGCAACCAATGACTTAACTTTATGCGAATCCCTGGGTGGTGCAAAAGGTTGAATGGCTTGGCTACTAATCAGAAGGTGGCAGCTCCGATTCACCGGGAGGGATTTCAGAAAAAACTTCCGGTGATCTACTTCTGAAAGGTTACAACCAGTGCGGTTCCACTCATGGGTCTTCATGAATTGAGCTCCACTCCATGGCGATTGGTTTGGTAGTATTGCCGTACGAGTTTCTAAGTATGTACTCTCAATTCCTTATCTGGTTATGGACTGGGGACTGGCTCATAGACCACACTGGTATAGATCCTGTGATCTCAACTCACAAGGTCTGACTTTAGTGAGTTTCAACCAACTCTTAAGTGTTTTACGCATTTGCCTTAAGCAAGACCATGAGGTGGGCACTTGGAGGGACATTGTCACACGCTTCACCAAGCAGCTGACAGTTAAGTTGTTCTGGACAGTGGGTCATGCCATTCATCTGACTCTGTTGGACCATTCCCCCAGTCACTTACTCCATTTCAGCCATGTTGACCTTTCCATCCTTCAAACGCACGTTTGTTGCAGCTTAGAGATTGTGTTGTCTCAGCCTAGGATACGCCCCACATCTTTCCATGGCTAGTTTTTACTCATGATTTTGAAGCATACACAGTCCCTCAGTCACCTCGAAAGTAACTCCCCTACTCATACCCTCTCAGCCTTCATTCTTCAGCCCCAGACGCAAAACTAAACCCACTGTCGTTCTTACTCCCAGAGACTCTCTCGTGCAGAGCAGAGCTGCTGCCGAGGTTTTCTGAGGCTGTAAAAGCTACACCGAAGCAGAGGGCCATCTCTCTCTCCCCCTCAGAGCTGCTGGTGGGTGCAAACCTTTCGGTTAGCAGCCAGCGCTTAACCCCCTGTGCCACCAGCACTCCCTATCCTTTAGCCCAGTGTTCAGCAGACTATTTGCTAGATTTGACAGATCCCTTATTGTTGCAAATAAAGTTTTATTGACATACAGCCACACCTATTTGGTTCAGAATTACCCGACTCCTTTCACGCTTTAAGAGTAGAACTGAGACATGATGGTCACAAAGCTAAAAGCAGGTACCTATTTGGCCCTTTATAGAAACACTTGGTCTCATCTATTATCCTAGCTTGCATTTTCTTTCAAGTGTGTGAATTCAGCTACCATTATCTTTTTAATTTGCTTACATGTTACATGTGTATATCCTCTAGCCAACCCCAGAATGTGAGTTGCATTCTCAGGGGACTTTTTTACCATTGCATCCCTAAGACCTGGACTCATACAGGGCGCATAGTAGGTTCTCACTTGCACATTTGCGAAATGCTTGACTGGCGTGGGCGTTACATATAGTCAATATAATCTCATCCAAGCCCTGGCTATGTCGCTTATTGACTCGGTGGGGCTGGGCACACCATCTCATTTCTCCACGCCTTGCTCCTACAGTAGGCCTAAAGATGGGATCTCCTTGATAGGACTGTGCTTGGAGTAAATGAGGGTGTATTTAAAGGGCTTGTCACATTGTAAGCTCTTAATGAAGGCTGGCTATTATTCTAACTGGGGGTAGGAGGGTATGAAAGCCTGGGAAGGCATAGGATGTGTGCCAAAGAACGGTTTCAAGAGGAACATTTGCCGTTCAAGCTCAAGGGAGAGAAAGAAGTAGAGCCCAGGGAGCCAGTATTTTCAGAAGATTCAGATCTGAGGAAGTCAGCAGGCTAAACGTTTGTCATTTGTTTCTTTTTTTAAAAAGGTAGGCCATCCCCCCTCCCTGGGGGAGGGACAACAGAAAAGTGGGTGAAGGGAGACGTCGGACAGTGCAAGAGATGACAAAATAATAATAATTTATAAATTATTAAGGGTTCAGAGGGAGTGTGGAGGGGGCCAGGAGGGGAAAAATGAGGAGCCGATGCCAGGGGCTTAAGTGGAGAGGAAATGTTTTGAGAATGATGAGGGCAATGAATGTACAAATGTGCTTTACAC